CTATTGAGGTGCAAACGAAACGAAGAGCGGCACAAACGGCTACAAGCGACTCTAAAGAATAGGGAAAAAACAGATTTCAAAAATCTCAATGTCGGGTGCTGGCCACTTTTTTTATTTTTTTTTTATCTATTAATTGATGAAACTATAAACGAAACCATTGTTACTACAATCAACTAACAAACGAAATACTATCATTTTCTATAAAGAAAAATTAATTTTTGAAAATTCGGGTGCCAGGTTCACGTACCTATTCGTACACGTCTCGTTTAAAGTGCAGTTCGATAAGTAATATATCCACGTATATTCGTGCGTTAAGTATCACGTCGAGTTTCTCGTTAAGATTGTACAATTCGACCGTTTCCGTTACTTTCTGTTTTTATTGTCATTGTTGTTTCGTAGATCGAGCAATCCTGTTTACGCCCGAAGATGCCGGTACAGGATGACGATAAGAAGATTACCGTTGCTCGCGATTCAACCGGGCGTTGATATTACTCGGAGAAAAGAATACAAAGTAGACGACACGCGAGAGTGTCACAAAGCCGACTATTTTCTGCCGCGAACAATCGATCCCGACGCTCCGAGATGCTAACGTTCATTCAGCGAATTTATTACGATCCGTCGGCGTCGGCTAAGCTTTCTCTTCAATTACGTTCGCGACTACTTATGCCGATTAACCTTTTGACCGCGAACAGCGTACACAATATGCGCCCGCGAGCAGCAAGCTCACAGACAGCTTGTCTGATCATAGAAAGTCAACACGTGTATGTGTATTGGAATTCGGTAACGAAACCTAGTTCGGAACCTCTGATCTTCTAATTTTCATCGATGACGTCCGATTATCTCGCTATCTTGACGAAACAGTTTTTAGCTAGACTCCGTGTACTTTCTTAACTTCTTTTTTTTTTATAATCAATGATATTTTAATCAATGATATTTAGATATAGTCCAAGGAACATTTACTGGTTAATGTAATTTGTGAAATGGAAAAAAAAATGCGAAAAGTGGGTAAAAGTATAGGAGCAATAAGTATTTGGACGATTCTTACGACGAACCATTTACGGTAGAGTTTGTAACGTAAACACATTAGTTTATTGCTCCGTGCGAATTATAAGACATCAAATTTCTAGTAAAGTACTTTTAAAAAAGGCTCTAATAGAGGAATGGAAGAAGATCCCACTTCGAATAACTAATAATTTAGTTAATTTAAAATTGGAAGTACTTTTTAGTGTGCAATAATATTAATTGTGATCTGAAACGATGGCATTTATTCTGAGGA